CGGTTGCCGCATTCCGTCGGGCACAGCAGGGACTCTGTAACAAATAGAGATATTTATTTTCTCTATCTCTATTGACGTCCCCTCTCTATTGATTTCGAAAAGAGAGAAGAGGAAAGCAAGTGCGGTAGCGACATAGGGATAACGATCTCTATCCGTTACAGAGTCCCATGGCTTACCTAGAGGTATACAACGTTGCCGTAACTTTCAAAATTTAATTTTCGATATTTTTCAATACACATGAGTTTATTTTTTTTATCCATTTTTTTATTGATGCCTTTAGAATCCGGTTGTGTGGGGGCCCCTTAGCTCTGGGGGCCCGACGCAAAGTGCGTCCTTTGCTTCATGTTAGATCCGCTACTGGCCAAAAGAACTTGACCCAATTTTTAACAGAGAATGGATAAATACCACAAAACTTGAGATCTCAGAAATACATTCTGTAAATATATTGGAGGAAAAAGAGGAGGTGACTTGAAGAAACATTTACAGATGTTTTTTAAGACGAATTGGGAAAAATTTACAATTTCGAGGATAATCTATTTCTTGAAGAAAACTGTTCACCCATTTATATTCGTACTCGGAAAATTTCTTATTCTTCAGAAGAAAAAGTGATTTTTAATTGAAATAAATAAACTTGAGATGAAAGGTATTTTAACTAAGTTGGAATACATATATCGAGTGGGGGACTACTAGTTCCAATTTTGAAGTCTGATGGTTATGTTAGGCTAAGCAACGTTTGTTGGACGACTGGGTCAATTTTTCCATAAATATTGAACAAGAAAATGCAAATAAGATAGGATTTCATGAGAGTTGGGGCATAAGAGGAACTATAGGAGCGATTGATGGAACTCACGTTGCAATAATTGCACCTACAACCGATATTGACCATCCTCCATTTGTATACATCAATAGAAAAGGAAAACATTCCATAAATGTTATGCTCATCTGTGATGCAAATCAAAAGATATTAGCTGTAGATGCTAGATATCCAGGTTCCATCCACGATGCTGCCATATTTAGAACTTCAGGAGTAAGGGATCACTTAAGAAGAAAATATGATGAAGGCAATCGAAGATCTATTTTTTTATTGGAGATAGTGGACATAGTGGTTATGGAAGTGAACCTTGGCTTTTAACCCCTTTTTTTAGCGACCCGGCCTAATACTCCTGAAGAAAGGTATAACAACATCCTAAAAAGTGCACGAAACGTCATAGAACGCACAAATGAGATATTTAAAAGACGGTTTTGTTGCTTATCTAGGCACAGAACCCTTTTGTACCATCCAAGCAAGGCAGCCTACATTATTTATGCTTATACAGTTTTACATAATATGGCATTACAAGAACATGTCCCTTTGTTAGATGCAAATGATGATGAAGACAATGAGGATGATGAGCCAGAACAGGACCACAATGAAATAAATTTTAATGACATTGCTAATTTGGGAAGACAAACAAGACAAAATTATGTAAGGGAAAATATAATCTGAACAAACCTACTACTGTCCAAAATATTGGACATCTTCGTAGAGTATTTTGCTCGATTTTGCTGTTATTTTGTATCATACCAATTTAAATAAATAAAAAAACGTCAATTTTATTAAGGATTTTTCAGGACTGTACAAACATTCTATAAATATCATATTATTTTGAAAATTAAGAATTATTGTCGTTATAAAATGCAAAGTTCATATTTATACTTCTGTATTTCAAAATGCAATCTTTTTTCTTCAGTTCTGCCCCTCTGTTCTCTGTTTATAAGTTTCTACAAAACTGTCGCGAATAGTACTCAATACCTCTATGGTTTGGTCAAATGATATTTTTAATTCACCAGCAGTTTCATTCAAGCTATACTTGGCTTTTTTGGCTTGAACTTTTTCTGAATTTTTGGCAACATCGGATTAGGTTGTGTAGAACAACCCTCATTTTCTATGGTAATTTCATTAATTAAATCCTTATTTTTATTTGTCATATCTTCTAATGGTAGGGTTGTTATTGTTTCGAGCACATTACTTTCATCAGCATGTGACTTGTTTGCTAGATGATCATCCTTCTTAGTTTGAGGCCACTTTATTCCTTCTGTAATGGTTACAAGCGGAGTACCTGTCACTGTTACTTTTCCCCAAACTTCAAGGCCTCGTTTTTCAAGAGGAGTTAATTCAGTTTTGACTTCGCTGAATCCATCACCAGTTGCATTTCTGCATTCAACCATTTTCCTATATTTAGTCCCTGGTTGCATTCTTCCAGTCTTTAAACTTCTATAAACCTTATTCTGCCAACATTCTTTCGTCAAAGCAGGTCCTTTTCCGATGGAATTTAGTTTTCATGTCAACAAATTCCATTTCTTCTCTTTGTAATCTGGTTCAACAGTAGGATCTAAAGTGCGACAAGTGAGTGAACCTGTGTGGAAGGAATGCGGGCAAAACGCTCCTGATTGGCGCGAGATTAAATCTACATATACGCGGGTTGTCGCGTCAGGGTAACCGCAATTTTCGCAATGCACCACGTTGGGGACCCGTCGCGTCGTATAGTATAGATTTTCGTCTTCCCCTCTGCTACTTCATACTTTACCAAGGTTCACTCACTTGTCGCGCTTTACTGTACCACTTCTCAACACATAGTCGCTTTCCAGAGCTTCTAAATACAACAAATATTGGGCGGTAGTGGTTTTTTTGTGTTCTTTTGCGTTACTATGCATTATTTCTGCAAGGTTTTGATTTTGAAATTGTTTACAGATCTACATCCTGATCATGCAAATGCAGGTGTTCTTTCAAGATTACCTCAAATGGAAAATCAATCGAATAAAGAAGCAGAGATATATATACTCAATATATGATTCAGTGTCATGCTATCAACTTCAACAGATTCTAGAACTACCTACCTTTAACATACAGAAATTGTACATGAAACGCGAAACGATGTCGTTCTGTCCAAAATATAATGCAGATTGGAGAAAATATTACTGAACATTGTTTTAAAGGTAAAGATGCCGAGTTTTCATTGAATTAAGGTGTTATCATGAGAAACGTACGGGTAGTTATTCCAAGTTATTTGAGGGAAAGAGTACTGAATGAGCCTCACGAAGCTCACACTGGCATCATCAAAATAAAAAGTTTGGCAAGGTTTGTATGGTGGCCAAAGATTGATAAAGATATTGTAAAAATAGCAAGAGAGTGCATAGGTTTTCAAAATGTACAAAAAAATGTTCCTCCAAAATCCATTCATATTTGGGAAGAAACAAAACAACATTGGCAACGTTTACATGTGGATTTTGCAGGCCCATTCATGGGTACTTAAATATTTTGTTTTGTTTTAGTCGATGCATTTTCAAAATAACCAGAAATCGTACCGGTAGCTTCAATAACTTCTTCAACTTCTATTGAAGTATTGCGAAACATTTTTACTCGTTTTGGAATACCATTACTTTTGACAAGTGATAATGGACTAACCTTCACCTCAACTGAATTCAAACTTCATTTGGACAGTAATGGAATTAAACATAGGTTATCTGCACAGTTTCATCCAGCTACAAACAGACAAGCCGAAAGATACGTTCAAACTTTTAAAAATGCTTTAAAAAAAGTAATTGAAGAACCAGGAGATTTGGACCACAAATTACAGAATTTTTTAGCGCGATATAGAAGAAGTCCTAATTCAACTACAAATTTTCCACCTTGCGTAAAATTAATGAATTACGAAATCCGAACAAAACTTGATCTCATTAAACCTACTTTGCAAGGAAAAGAAAATTTGAAATCGACAGATGGAGAAGAAAATTTTAGGAAATTTAAAGTGGGCGACAGAATTAGAGTTCATAATTTTTCGGAGAAAAAGACAAAATGGGAATATGAACACATTGCAAAAAGAAAGGGGCTATTACATTATTTAATCTACGTCGGTGTCATTATGACACATTTAGCATTGTCATTTGAATGTCATTAGGTCCTTCATAATAGCACTAGTGCGTTTAAGAATTCATAATGACACCCAAATTTTGAAATGAAAAATATACAAAAAGAAAGTTAGTTGCCAGAAGAAACTTTTCAATAATGCTGTCTCTATATTCGAAGAGACACTTTCGAACTCAGATTCACCAATAATAATATTATTTTCCACCTTAAAATTGAATTTATGGCACAAAAATGGACTCCAATATTGAAGCTGCCAAAGTCAAAATTCTAAGAACCAACAAGCAGGTTCTCGACTTGTACGGGCACCTGCTAAATTTCAAATTTTAATTTGAAAAGTTTTTGCTATTTCAAGGCAGATCAAATCTATTTGAACCATTGTAGATTAAATTTTGAATGATACACGTTCGATATGAACTTGTATCATTAATAACTATCATAAAACTGGATGATGGTCGTATATATGGCGTAGACACGTTGACCATATTTCAATCACACAAGTACCCAAAAACACGATTAATGATCCTGCAGTTTTTTTGGAAGAGGATATAGATGGAGTCGTCCAAAATACCAATAATAATATTCACTCGACCATACAAGAAGTAACAGATGAAGATATTCAAACCACTAGTACTACTCTAAAAGAAGAATCTGATGAAGACATTCAGAATACTAGCAATACTACTATACAAGAAAATCTAACAATAAAAAAAAAAGATGATGTTACTGAGGAAAGGGAGACACAAGATTAGAATTCATCTATCCTACAAAACACCATGACTTTTAAAAGATCTAAACACAAAATTGAGTCAGTTCAGAAAATGAATTTATAATGAAAATTTACGAGGCACGACTGTTATGTCTTCAGCATCCGGTAGTTTCGTACCTTTCACCTTTATCATATAACTTAAAGGTATAAAGTTTGAAGGGTTTTCATTTTGTATAGTCAGTTTTCTATAGTCAGTTAGTCATAATTGTTGAAAATATAAAGTTGACTTGAAAAGTAAAGCATTATAACATACTTATTATACACAGAATCAAATAAACTCCTGTTAATAAACACATTATGTATTTTGTAAAACTTTTCCTCTTTCAGACTGACAATCATGGGTAGGACAAAACGCAAACGGAACAAATCAGCACGAGAACCGATCAACATAAATTTGGGCACGGATCAGGAATCGATCAACCTGAAACAATGGCTAAAAACCCAAAACCCCTTTTACGACCCATTGCATCTACAGCTTCGCAACTTTTCTGCCACAGGAAGAGGAGTGTCTGCAAAAAAATCCGTACAACCATCAGAAGTGCTACTCAAAATACCCTTCCGACTTCTAATTACTTTCGATTCCATAAGAAAATCCGAATTAGTTGATTATTTTGATGTTGGGCAAAAGCCTTTAACAATACACACTTTATTGGCTGTATTTTTAGTTATGGAAAAACATAAAGGCAAAAAATCCAAGTGGAAAAATTATATTGAATCTTTACCTTATCCTGAACCTTTACTGCCATGGATGTGCAATGATGAAGAATTTTACCCTGATGAACTTAAAAGTTGTGCAGTAAAGCTTCAACAAAACTTTGAAGAAAGTTTTAAAAACTTATCTTTAAACTTAAGTGTTTTGTGTAAATGTTGCAAAAATAGTTTAAACTATTTATTAGATTTTGATATGTTTAAATGGGCTTATGTTTTGGTTAATACCAGAGCTGTATATATTGATGCAGATTATTTAATATCCAATGATAATTCTCATGTTTCTTTATTAGTTGATGAACCAATTTTAGCTTTATGTCCTTATTTGGATTTAATAAATCATCATTACAAAGCCAGGACAAAAGCAAATGTTGTAAATGTAGATGGAGAAGCTTTTTATCAATTAATAACGATGACAGGGTTTAGTAAGTACGAACAAATTTTTATTAGTTATGGAGCTCACAGTAACGACAAACTTTTTATGGAGTATGGATTTTTTATTCCAGGAAATGTTTTCGATTTTGTTAAAATTAGCTTCAAGGAGATTCTTGAAATATTAAAGATAAGTTTGGATGAGAGACAGTATAAGGCAATTAAAAATTACAAGTTTAATGCTAATGAGGTTTATATTAATCAAAATGGACCGTCGTTTGTGTTGAAAGCTATTTTATTTGTAGGATATTATCCTGAAATTTTAAACTATGGTTCGTTTATTTTTAGTAACAGGTTTCCTAGTGATTTTAGTAGTGTGATATTAAAAGGTACAAGAGTATTGTTAAATTTTAAGCTAGAAGAGTATAAAAGTGATGTTAGACGATATGAGGACAATGTTGATGATTTTGCAAAATTGATGAGTAATTATTTAGAATATAGAGTCAAATATGTGCAAGACTTATTGTTGTTATTGGAGGAAAATAAATTATGTTTTTGAGAAGAATTTTTTGTTTTGTATTCGAGACATAAACCAAAAATGCATTGAGGGTCAGTAACATTATAAAGCAATGAACAAGTATTCAGTGGGGTGGGTTTTGGTATATATACAATGACGAAATTATGCTCTTTTATATCTCGGCCTATTGTGTCGGACGGTTTTGTTAGACTGTAATTCGCCCTCATATTAAATGTGCATTTGGATACACTTCACGCCTTGAGGGATCTTTTCATATATTTATTGTTACTTTGAGCAATATAGAATCAGAAGAAACTTGTATTGGATTATGAACTTATGGTTCTTCATTCGTAGGTCTATCTAAGGTACGCCACTAGTATTTCAATAATCATACAATTTTGTATATTAATATTTTCGTACATATAATGTTTTTCCTCTGTTTCTGCCTTACTGCTTTTTCATTTTCAGACTATTGCTCTATCCTCGCTCTATCTCAGAATTTTTTTGTCAGGGTGTGTTTTCTGAATTTATTTATTCTGATTTATTTATTCTGGTGCCTTGCCTATAGATTTTTAATAAATATTAATGAAGATGTAATGCAAATTGCTCAATAAGGCGAGCGCTTATTTTTTAGGTCCCAAATCCGAAAAGCAAACCGAGTTTAATCCCAAAGGACAATAGAAAGGGGCCTTATCGTCGCGACCCTTTAAAAGTGTGTATGCAGCTTGCAATATGCCCCTGTCATCTTGCATTAAAATCTATCAAGGAATTAGGATTTAGGTATAACAAGGTCGATTAATCCTAGCTTTCATATTTAAGCACTAGCTTGTATTTCACAAATATTTTCCAGTGTTTTTGGTATTTCAAAGGATTTATGGCAATTAGAAATTCTGGTACTTAGATTCATAATCCAAAAGAATAAGGAATTGTTGAATTGGCACTGAGACTGAGACCAGGAAGAGCAATTTTACCAAAGTTTCTTCCAAACCTCATACGTTTAATGCATCTGTCATATTATATCTATCTACACAATCTTCATTTAAAACAACAATCATCACAAAAAAACCCCGATATCTCTTCAAATCACCCTCAGCTTTGATTAAAAGCAATAATCCACTCAACAAAAACATCCTAATAAAGACACAATGGGCTAATCAAAACGGAAAATTCGAAACTCGAGAGGTCAGCAAGGCATGAAGATGTCCTTTTACGATAATGGGTCCAGTGAGGACGTTTCAGGATTCTGCACCTGTAGGTTTCCGGGTCCTGCTCTACCCCTAAAATACTTTAAAAAGTTGTGATATAGAGACAGTGGCGGAGAAGGAAAATAATTGAATTTTGGTCTTTTTTTGGAGCTTCATTAAAATTAAAATTATTTCTTAAGAACTTACTTTGTAGTCTCAGACCTTATTGGACTATTAAAAAGAAACTGGAAATTCCTTGTTTCAATTCTAGACGTTGGATGATGATGAGGAACTTGATTGTCATAGTTTCTCGACAAGATAACTGAAAAACGCGAATTCCCTTAGTAGATAGATAATTATTCCCTAAATGCCTTGATTGCTCAGAGAAGATGTGTTAACTGGAAATGACACAAAACAGAAATTCAGCTATAATGCAAAAAAATAAAAATTAAAACTCTACGTCACTGTAATTTAGCAGCATCTGTCGTCGATCATCAGCGCCATTTAGACCATCAAACACACGCAGTACAGGATCAATTGGGCGTCCTGAATGGTCCCTGAAAGGACTCGCTGGGGAAGCGAGCACGTGCCGGGGAATGGGGGCCACGTGCTGTCGATGACTGACGGGCGTTTTGCAAGGTGTCCGGCACGTGCCGCAGTTTCCGTCAACAAGTGCTTGCAAGTTTGTAGATTTTATGAGACAAAAATGGTGAAGTCAAATTTCTTCAGAATCAACTTATTTTGAGATGGAAACTGCTTAAGTAGGGGGTGAGAGAAGAAGAAATTAAAAAAAAAATCAATAACATTTTCTTTTTCTTGAGTAAAAATTGTAGGAAAATGTTTTTGGAAATTGTCCTGAGCCCTGAGTTACTTATTTGCAAATATTGGTTTTCCGGATTTTTAGATCTTATAATAGAAACCTAAAATCCTGAATTCTGGGATGTCATTTTGAAAGTTTCCTGAATAATCTCAAAATAAGGGTTCCTGATTGTTTTTCTATTCAGGAGAAAAAATTCTGGGATTTTTGATTTTTCAATTCCAAAATCAGAAATTCCTGTTTTTTTTTGCGTAGAAAACTCTTAGGATCTGCAGGTCCAAAATCCCGACTTATAACTTCATAAATTCACTAGTAATTATTTTTTTTCCAAAAATATACAAGCTTCCGAGTTTCCTTCTACAAAAAGTTCCGAAATTTTCCTTTGATTAGTTTTCCAGAAAAACTTTGTGAGAGACTGTATTTTCAATTAATTCCAGTTTTTGTTAGTTTATTTCTAAGATTCTTCATTAATCTTCATGTTGTTATTTTCTACTAGAAAAATTTGAAGTTTTGAGAACCAAGCTCCTGAGTTTCCTTTTTACATACAAAAAGTTTCAAATGTTCACTTTGGTTAGTTTTCCAGAAAGACTGTGTAATGCGAGGGACTGTATATTTTCAATTATTTCAGTTTTTGAAAGCTGACTTTCAAGATTCTTCATGTTGTTATTTTCCGCTGGAAAAATTTGATATTTTGGGAAAATTAGCTCCTGAGTTTCCTTTTTACATACAAAAAGTTTCAAAATTGATTTTCCTTTGATTATTATTTCAGAAAAACTGTGTAATGGGAGAGACAGGGTTGGATGAACCCACCGGGATACCGGGAAATTCCCGATGGGCCGATTGGAATGTGGGCCGATGTTTAGAACAACAGGATTATTAAGGTACCTTCAAACCAAAATCTGAGATCAAACGGACGGCCTCAAAGCACAAAGAATGGTCAATTCAACTTATGACGCGCTGAAAAAAGAACAACGCAACATGAAAGAAGTATGCTAAGAATGCTTGAAAATTGGGCAAATACAGGACTGCGGAAGCAGGTGAAATTGATGTAATAATTCAAGATTCACTACCAGCAATTCCTTCTCATAAAAAAGAAGATATCGGGCTATTTTGCGGGAGGAATTAAAGAGTTTTGGAAAAAAATGGTCTGACTCGAAAAGGACGGAGCTACGTATGACCTACGTACCTCTCTGAATCCAATGATGGAGATGAAGATAATAGCTGTTTTCCTTTTAAGAAAGAACGGATCTAGAACGGTTCAAAACAATCGCACAGTTCATCAATCAACAAAATGATAATAGCTCGGCTTTCAAAAATTCCAATAATAAACTATGCAGTTGTTTTGGACCGTTCTAGAATCATCCTTTTTTCAAACCAAAACAAAGCTGTGTAAGGGCCAAATTATGAACTGACTGGTAAACGTCTTGTTGTTACCTAGCAGGTACTTTCTATGCTCTGGATAATAGCAAGTACCTGCTAGGTAACAACCAGACACTTACCAGTTGGTCCATAATTTGGCCCTAAATGACACAATGTTGGATACAGGGAATGAATAAAAAAGTGTTCATCACATTCACTTTTCAAACAATGTTTGGTTTGCTGTCTTAATATTTTGTATAAATACAGATTATACATCTGGGCGTGCAGTCATCTCTTTACCAGTATATGTCCTTATTTTAGCGTGTTCACAGTTAGGGTGCGAAATAGTTATTTTCCTAACAAGTGCGCAAAGTGATACTTTCCCGCACGAAAAAGCAGTTAGACGAACGACGCGAAGCGGAGTTCGGATGAGTGCGGGAAAGACACTTTGCGCAAGTGTTAGGAACAATATTTTTTTTACAAGTATCTTAAAAAAGTAGACTTTGAATTGTTAAAATATTAGAAAAATCAATCAAATCAAAATCTTCAAAAATCGTTTAAAATCTAGTATTGGAATTCCTCAGAATGTCTTTTAAATTAAATCCCCAAATATCTTTTCACATCTTCTTGAATTTCTAGAATCAGCAAGAATATTTTCATGAGAGTCTCTTAAATATCAAAAATTTTACAAATTCCTAGCAGTACAGGCTGGTTCAATTTGGACACCTTTATTGATAGGAAACATCATGTTAACTAAGCGTTAATTTCAACTAAAACCCTTCATTTTGAATATTAGTTTATTCAGAAACCATCAAAACATTGAAAAATCAAGTATAACTATGGTAATTATGCGTAACAAAAATGAGTGCGCAAAGAGTTTCCGTGCGCAAAATTCAACTTTGCGCACGCAAATGAGTGTGCAAAGTGATTACTTTGCGCACGCAAGTAGAAAAAATACTTTTCAACACTTGAAGACATTGATCAAGAAGTCGACTTACAATGGAAAGTTTGGATGCGTTGGTGATAGTGAACTTGAATAAAGACATCTTAGGATTGTTGACTTTTGAGAAGATTTTCATGGAAATATTCAAACTAAGCCCCCCATTAAAGAAAATATAATTTTGATTGTTTGAAATAAATAAATCAATGTATGGGCCGCTGGACTGAAATTTCCCGGCCTACTTCCAAAAGTTCGTCCAACCCTGGCGAGAGACCTGTATTTTCAATTAATTCAGTTTTTGTGAGCTGACTTTCAAGATCATTCATGTTGTTATTTTCCATTGGAAATATTTTAAATTTTGGGAAAATGAGCCCCTCGATTAGTTTCCCAGAAAAACTGCGTAATGTGAGGGACCTATATTTTCAATTAATTCAGTTTTTGGAAGTTGATTTTCAAGATTCTTCCTGTTGGTATTTTCCACTGGAAAAATTTGAAATTATGGGAAAATGAGCTCCTGAGCTTCCTTTTTACATACAAAAAGTTACAAAATTAATTTTCCTTTGATTATTTTTTCAGAAAAACTATGTAATGCGAGGGACCTTGTATTTACAATTACCAATTCAGTTTTTGTAAGCTGAATTTCAAGATTCTTCATATTGTTATTTTCCACTGGATAAATTTGAAATTTTGGGAAAATGAGCTCATGAGTTTCGTTTTTACATAAGAAAAGTTTCAAAAATTTTCCTCGATTAGTTTCCCAGAAAAACTGTGTAATGTGAGGGACTGTATTTTCAATTAATTCAGTTTTTGGAAGTTGATTTTCAAGATTCTTCATGTTGTTATTTTCCACTGGAAAAATTTTAAATTTTGGGAAAGTCAGCTTCTGGGTTTCCTTTTACATGAAAAAAGTTTCAAATTTAATTTTCCCTTCGCTTATTTTCCAGGAAGACTGTGTAATGTGAGGGACTGTATTTTCAATTAATTCAGTTTTTGTAAGCTGATTTTCAAGATTCTTCACGTTGTTGTTTTCCAATGGAAAAATTTTAAATTTTGGGAAAGTCAGCTTCTGGGTTTCCTTTTACATGAAAAAAGTTTCAAATTTAATTTTCCCTTCGCTTATTTTCCAGGAAGACTGTGTAATGTGAGGGACTGTATTTTCAATTAATTCAGTTTTTGTAAGCTGATTTTCAAGATTCTTCACGTTGTTGTTTTCCAATGGAAAAATTTTAAATTTTGGGAAAGTCAGCTTCTGGGTTTCCTTTTACATGAAAAAAGTTTCAAATTTAATTTTCCCTTCGCTTATTTTCCAGGAAGACTGTGTAATGCGAAGGAACTGTATTTTCAGTTAATTCAGTTTTTGTAAGCTGATTTTCAAGATTCTTCATGTTGTTATTTTCCACTGGAAAAATTTGAAATTTTGGGAAAATGAGCTCATGAGTTTCGTTTTTACATACGAAAAGTTTCAAAAATTTTCCTCGATTAGTTTCCCAGAAAAACTGTGTAATGTGAGGGACTGTATTTTCAATTAATTCAGTTTTTGTAAGCTGATTTTCAAGATTCTTCATGTTGTTATTTTCCACTGGAAAAATCTAAAATTTTGGGAAAATGAGCAATTTTCGGAAAATGAGCTCATGAGTTTCGTTTTCACATACGAAAAGTTTCAAAAATTTTCCTCGATTATTTTCCCAGAAAAACTGTGTAATGTGAGGGACTGTATTTTCAATTAATTCAGTTTTTGGAAGTTGATTTTCAAGATTCTTCATGTTGTTATTTTCCACTGGAAAAATTTTAAATTTTGGGAAAGTCAGCTTCTGGGTTTCCTTTTACATAAAAAAAGTTTCAAAATTAATTTTCCCTTCATTTTTTTTCCAGGAAGACTGTGTAATGCGAAGGACCTGTATTTTCAATTAATTCAGTTTTTGTATGCTGAATTTCAAGATTCTTCATGTTGTTCTTTTCCACTGGAAAAATTTGAAATTTTGGGAAAATGAGCTCGTGAGTTTCGTTTTTACATATGAAAAGTTTCAAAAAAATTTCCTCGATTAGTTTCCCAGAAAAACTGTGTAATGTGAGGGACTGTATTTTCAATTAATTCAGTTTTTGTAAGCTGATTTTCAAGATTCTTCACGTTGTTGTTTTCCAATGGAAAAATTTTAAATTTTGGGAAAGTCAGCTTCTGGGTTTCCTTTTACATGAAAAAAGTTTCAAATTTAATTTTCCCTTCGCTTATTTTCCAGGAAGACTGTGTAATGTGAGGGACTGTATTTTCAATTAATTCAGTTTTTGTAAGCTGATTTTCAAGATTCTTCACGTTGTTGTTTTCCAATGGAAAAATTTTAAATTTTGGGAAAATGAGCTCATGAGTTTCGTTTTTACATACGAAAAGTTTCAAAAATTTTCCTCGATTAGTTTCCCAGAAAAACTGTGTAATGTGCGGAAGTGTATTTTCAATTAATTCAGTTTTTGTAAGCTGATTTTCAGGATTCCTCATGTTGTTATTTTCCACTGGAAAAATTTGAAATTTTAGGAAAATGAGCTCATGAGTTTCCTTTTTACGTACAAAAAGTTTCAAAATTTTCCCTTGATTAGTTTTTCAGTGGGACACCCTGTATAAGAGACTGTATTTTTAATTATTAATTAAGTTTTTGTAAGTTGATTTTCAAGGAAAAATTTGAAATTTTTAGGAGAATAGTTTCTGATTGTTTTTCTTTTCAGGAAAATTCTGGGATTTCTGATTTCATCTCATTTCAAAATCAGAAATTTCTGTGCATAGAAAATTCTTAGTATCTGCAGGTCTAAAATCCCGAGTTATAACTTCATAAAGTCACTAGCATTGTTTTTTCTGGAAATATGGTTTCCCTTGCAAAATTGACAATATTCTGAAGGAGGAGTGGTGAGGAAATTTCCTAGATTTTCTCTAGGTATAGAAAGCTTCCAGGATCTTCTGATCCTTCAAGATTCTTGAATCATTCAGATCCTGAACCCTCTTTTTCACATATTTTCTATTTTATACGAATACTATGGGATCTGACCTTAACACCCTAAGCCCTGGGTCACTTTGCTTGCAAATATTGATTCTTCAGATTTTTTTAGATTTCAGAAACCTGAAATCGAGCCTGAAATCCAGATTTCTGAAACATTATACTTTGAAAGTTTTCTATATAACTAATCGCCTAAGAAGAGTTCCTAATTATTTTTCTATCGAGGAAAATTCTAGAACATCTGACTTCTAAATTCAAGTTATTAAAATTTCCTTATTTTTGTCTCAAGGTACATCTGTATAGTTATTATTTTGCATACTTTCAGGTACTTTTGTGATGAGAATCTCAAAAAATCTCCTATTTTATTTATACTGAGAAGAATAGAATCCAAAATCCAGCATCACAATCTTCCTGCTCTTATCCTTGTTAGCGAATCAACGAGCTCATAGATTGTGCAAATTTTTTTCTCTTAAAAGTCTTAGGATCTATCGATAAAGAATTTAAAAGGATACCTATTTAAAAGAAAATCAAAATTCGAGAGCCTGGAATGGACTACAAATTGAGGTGCAGAAACTGAGGAATGGATAGCGACAATTTTACAAAACCCAAGAAAAGAATGGTGAAATAATCTTTATTTTTCTATTACAGGCTTTTAAATAAGTATTAGGTACTTTTTATTTACAGAAATTTAGAGGAAAACAACAATTCAAGAGCCTGGAATGAATAAATATTGAAGAAATCGAGGAATAAAGAGAGACAATTTGAGGAAAACTTAATAAAAATCACTCTACTTTTTCCATTACGAGCTTTTGAAACAAAAATATAGGAGCCAAGAATAGACAAAAATTGAAATTAAGACGGAAAAATTTGAGAAAATCCGAAAGAAATTGTAACAAACCCAACCAGAGTAGTTTACCATTGGTGATATCAGTTTCTAGAAGTTAATAGAACAATCAAAGCGTGAATAATCCTGTGGCTCCACCCTGCGGTCCTGCCAACCCCTGCGGCTCCGAACAAGTGTTCACCCCCCGTATATTTAATTCCGTATTAAGGGTGCGGGGCGGAGCGAATTGAGCCCGTCAAAGTTTTATTCTGCAACCTGATCTTTTATAGCAAGTGAATTTGTTGATATAATATGTACAGGACCGGTCAAAGAAATAATAATTATTTATCAATATTCAGGATTAACATTTTCATCTATCGAAAGTTTGTACTCAATTTTTTGACGTCTTTCGTGTTATATGAACTGTATGCGTCTCACAATAAAGTTAGAATGTTTTATATTCCGCATGGCATATGAATCATATTTGATTCAAGGTTTAGGAACTATATAGAGAAAATATGGTGTTACAACAATATTTGAAAAGTTGTAAAAATGTTGAATTGCAGAAATAAATTTAAACTCCCTCAGGATCCGTCCCTGTTGTTCTAATCAGACACAGTCCATCAATCCAAGCCGGGGCTACCGCAAATTTTAAACGCTGCAGGATGATAAACCGGGTGTCGACGTTCACCCTGTCCATCCCTGTTGCAAGAGTGGTGGAAAAACCACCACCACCACCAACCCGCAGGAAAACTATAGGTGGCTGCGATCATGAATCCCACCAAACAATTACAAGTAATCGTCATGAAAACATCTTGTCAAACAATTTTGTCAAAACTTTTTTGCTAGTGAAAACTCCTTGTGGAAAAAAACGGACACCAAGTGACCAGCAAACCAGTGTAATAAGATGTATATGCTTTCAAAATCGGATCCCAGGGCCAGTTCCAGTGCATATTTTCCGTACCAGCAATTAGTACCTTTTGCCACTACGACGTCCACAGTTACGGACCAAAGTGATAGATCGAGCATCAAGAACCAAGAAGAAGTTTCGAGTGTTGGCAAAGTTGTTGCCGGTGGAGCGATACCGCAAAATGCCACCACGGCTGATATCGAACCTAAAAGATTGGCTGGAAATATTGATAATGAAATGGTAAAAATTTATACTTAAATATCGGATTGATTAGAAGCGTGTATATATTTCTCATATATAGTTTTTCAAAGTTTGAATATTCTTTGGTTTTACTTTCAAAAAAATAAATGTTGCTTTCGAACCTGATATGTTTCGTCTGATTGGCGGAAATTTGAAAATATGTGGTGCCAAAATCTGATGACGTTTTTAAACTTTTCAACCTAAAACTTTATTTTCAGAAATTGTTAAATCAGCTTCTAATCTTTCTCTTTTCTCACCCAGTCTCAGCATTCTCCAATGAGCAGTTTTCCAGAAAAATCGTAGATTGTTTCAAGGTGCATTTTCAATTTATTTTATTTTTTTGTAAAGTTAATTTTCAATAATTTTTCGTGTTACTGGTTTTCACTGAATTCAATTGAAATTTTAGCTAAATCAGCTCCTAAATCTTTCTCTTTTCACCCTGTAAGTTTCAACATTCTCCCATCATCAGTTTTCTAGAAAAAGTGTAAATTGTGACAAGGTGCATTTTCATTTTATTTAGTTTTTAAAATTTAAATTTCAAGAATTTTTCTTGTTACTGGTTTTCACTGGATTGAATTGAAATTTTAGCTAAATCAGCTTCTAATCTTTCTCTTTTCACCTTGTAAGTTTCAACATTCTCCCCTTAGCAGTTTTCCACAAATAAATGTAAACTCTGGCAAGGTGCATTTTCATTTTTTCTAGTTTTTAAAATTTAATTTTCAAGTATTTTTCTTGTTACTGATTTTCACTGGATTGAATTGAAATTTTAGCTAAATCAGCTTCTAGTATTTCTCTTTTAAGCCTGTAAGTTTCAGCATTCTCCCATTATCAGTTTTCTAGAAAAAGTGTAAATTGTGACAAGGTGCATTTTCATTTTTTCTAGTTTTTGAAATTTAATTTTCAGTAATTTTTCTTGTTACTGGTTTTCACTGGATTGAATTGAAATTTCAGCTAAATCAGCTTCTAGTCTTTCTCTTTTCACCCTGTAATAGTTTCAATATTCTCCCATTATCAGTTTTCTAGAAAAAGTGTAAATTGTGACAAGGTGCATTTTCATTTTATTTAGTTTTTAAAATTTAATTTTCAAGAATTTTCCTTGTTACTGATTTTCACTGGATTGAATTGAAATTTTAGCTAAATCAGCTTTTAGTATTTCTCTTTTCACCCTGTAAGTTTCAACATTCTCCCATTATCAGTTTTCTAGAAAAAGTATAAATTGTGACAAGGTGCATTTTCATTTTTTCTAGTTTTTAAAATTTAATTTTCAATAATTTTTCTTGTTACTGGTTTTCACTGGATTGGATTGAAATTTTAGCTAAATCAGCTTCTAGTTTTTCTCTTTTCCTCCTGTAAGTTTCAATATTCTCCCATTATCAGTTTTCCAGAAAAAGTGTAAATTGTGACAAGATGCATTTTCATTTTATTTAGTTTTTAAAATTTAATTTTCAAGATTTTTTTTTGTTACTGGTTTTCACTGGATTGAATTGAAATTTTAGCTAAATCAGCTTCCAGTCTTTCTCTTTTCCTCCTGTAAGTTTCAACATTCTCCCATTATCAGTTTCCCAGAAAAAGCGTAATTTGTGACATGGTGCATTTTCATTTTATTTATATTTTAAAAGTTGATTTTCAATAATTTTTTGTGTTACTGGTTTTCACTGGATTCAATTGAAATTTTAGCTAAATTAGCAGCTTATCTTTCTCTTTTCACCCTGTAAGTTTCAACATTCTCCCATGAGCAGTTTTCCAGAAAAAAAGGTAAACTGCGGCAAGGTGCATTTTCATTTTATTCAGTTTTTAAAAGTTAATTTTCAAGAATTTTTCTTGTTACTGGTTTTCACTGGATTGGATTGAAATTTTGGCTAAATTAGCTCCTAATCATTCTCTTTTCACCCTGTAAGTTTCAACATTCTCCCATTAGGTAGCGATTTTCCAGAAAAAAACGTAAACTGCGGCAAGGTGCATTTTCATTTTATTTAGTTTTTAAAAGTTAATTTTCAAGAATATTTCTTATTACTGGTATTCACTGGATTGGATTGAAATTTTAGCTAAATCAGCTTTTAATCTTTCTCTTTTCACCCTGTAAGTTTCAAAATTCTCCCATCATGAGTTTCCCAGAAAAAGCGTAAATTGTGACATGGTGCATTTTCATTTTATTTATATTTTGAAAGTTGATTTCCAATAATTTTTCTTTTTACTGGTTTTCACTGGATTGGATTGAAATTTTAGCTAAATCAGCTTCTAGTTTTTCTCTTTTCCTCCTGTAAGTTTCAATATTCTCCCATTATCAGTTTTCCAGAAAAAGTGTAAATTGTGACAAGGTGCATTTTCATTTTATTTAGTTTTTAAAAGTTAATTTTCAATAATTTTTCTTGTTACTGGTTTTCACTGGATTGGATTGAAGTTTTGGCTAAATTAGCTCCTAATCTTTCTCTTTTCACCCTGTGAGTTTCAACATTCTCCCATTAGCAGTTTTCCAAAAAAAAACGTAAACTGCGGCAAGGTGCATTTTCATTTTATTCAGTTTTTAAAAGTTAATTTTCAATAATTTTTCTTGTTACTGGTTTTCACTGGATTGGATTGAAATTTTAGCTAAATCAGCTTCTAGTTTTTCTCTTTTCCTCCTGTAAGTTTCAATATTCTCCCATTATCAGTTTTCCAGAAAAAGTGTAAATTGTGACAAGGTGCATTTTCATTTTATTTAGTTTTTAAAATTTAATTTTCAAGAATTTTTTTTGTTACTGGTTTTCACTGGATTGAATTGAAATTTTAGCTAAATCAGCTTCCAGTCTTTCTCTTTTCCTCCTGTAAGTTTCACCATTCTCCCATTATCAGTTTCCCAGAAAAAGCGTAAGTTGTGACATGGTGCATTTTCATTTTTTCTAGTTTTTAAAATTTAATTTTCAGTAATTTTTCTTGTTACTGGTTTTCACTGGATTGAATTGAAATTTTAGCTAAATCAGCTTCTAGTATTTCCCTTTTCACCCTGTAATAGTTTCAATATTCTCCCATTATCAGTTTTCCAGAAAAAGTGTAAATTGTGACAAGGTGCATTTTCATTTTATTTAGTTTTTAAAATTTAATTTTCAAGAATTTTTCTTGTTACTGATTTTCACTGGATTGGATTGAAACTTTAGCTAAATTAGCTTCTAGTCCTTGTCTTAATATTTCTTTCATTAGAAACTGAGCTGGCTATTGGACCTGACACTAATTTGAAATCGAAATTTCCAAGAACAACCTTCGTGGAAGAAACTGTTCCATTTAAAAGTAATGACAAAAGGAATCCTTATGTTGAAAAACCAATGAAAAACATAATTTCCATTTTCCAATCATATAATATGTAATTTCATTATGAATCCAGAATAATTTTCATCTAATTATTCCAGGCTCCAGTCAAAGTTACAGTAACTCCATTCGGATGCATAGACCTGGACGAAAACTCCAAATCCCTTTGGACTCAGCAAACCCACTGGGTTCGTGCCATTAAATTAGCAGACGACTGTCACGGCTACAACGTGCAACTGAGATTCCATCCTTCTTTCCGGTAGGTCCCATTTTTAGCCCTTAAGTATATTTAATGAAAATACATTTCCATCAGGCTTTTCCCGAGCAATCTGAGAGCTTACAACAATCAGCTACCGAAAATCATCTTGCAAGCCATCAGACCGATCGAAGCCGGCGAGGAATTGCAAATGTGGTTTTCTGAAGATGTTTTGGCCACTTTGCAAATTGCGTTTTTGGGACTTTCGAATATTCGAGGTAATTTTCAGTAGATTTTGAAACCCTTTAACCGATTACTTAAAAATCAGTTAACCGATTTGGTTTACATGGGTTTCGGTTGCTTAAACCGTTTATTGGTTAACTGCGGTATAGGCAAACCAAAAACAATTTCAAGTAATAAATAGGTTTTTAGTTAATTGAACTCAGTGCTAGATTTAGGCCTTTTGCCCCCGAGTAAAGATTTAACGGATCGCCGCCTCTTCTACCCTGTTACAGAGAAAAAGCAACAAGTTGAATATAAATGTATAATATATTTTTTCTATGACTATGGAAAAATAAACAACATTCGTCATATTTTAACTTAGCTGAAAACATAATTTTCGTCACTAGTAATAGAATATCCCATAACGTTGACATTCCTCACTAGTGACCAAAGTGAATAATATGATAAATGGCGTCTTGATTCATTCACGTTTTCAATCGCCATCTATCAAACCATATTTGACAGACTGTAAAACCTAAATGGTTGATTTTACAGCAAAACCGATCTTACATTCTCATCCCAAAGCTATCATTTGACACCAAGTTTTGCTGTAAAATTTACCGTTCAAGTTTTACCGTCTGCCAAAGATGCAAAAAAGTCAATTTTTAACTGTCAATATTTCCGAAACAGATTGTAGCAAAACAACCCAAGGACTCTATTTCATTAGTTAGATGGTAAATGGCGAGCGGTATATTGATGGTGTTTATTTCCTTGAGCTGCTACCTGTAAAATTGTGGAGGGGTCTATTCGCAAAAGAGAGAAACAAACTATTGAGGTTTTCTAAATTATATTTTATTATACTTAAGACCAAAATTTTAAATAAACATCATTAAAGTACTTACATTTAAACTGTCACACAAAATACTTATATAATTAGTCGAAATTGAGCTAGAGCACGCACATAACAACGGAAAGATTTTACTATTTTCTTCTACGAGATATTAGAGAGTTTTCGTTGTATTGGCAAATTCGAACGGTTAACCATAACGGATACGAAAACAAAGCCGCTATTTGACAGATCGTAAAAATAGTTTTCGTTCAATCCGCTTAACGTTAACGTTAAGTCGAATTCGACAAACATAACCTTTCTTTAATAGTTTGTGTTTATCATTGTGTTAATATACGTTTTGTATACTTTGTTTTAATTTCTTAGTACCCAAAATTCATTAATTTTCCCTGTAGGCTTTACAAAATTGGCTACTACAAAAGCCTATTTAGATGCATCGTCATATAGGAGGGGTTGTTGGCCAATATTTCTTCTAATGAAATAATAAATGCTTAAGAGAAGTTCGTGTCCTATTGGTATCCAATGAAGAGGGGTGATTCGTAGGTTAGGACAAAAAATAGAAGGCCTGTTAAGTCTTTACCAAGTGTCGCCCAAAAGTTTAGGGCTCCATCAGGGCTTGTACTTAAAAAATGATGTGGCCAGAATTATAAAAAATAGTGCGAGATTTTCAGGATGGAACACTCGATTGCACATAATATAATAAATAATATTGTCCTCATCCGTGAAACGATTTCTCGATCTTTTGAGGGAATTTAGTATCTATTTCGAAAACCAAAAACATTTAAAAACAAAAACAAACCACAACAAAAACATAGGAAATACGCATGCTTTCCGTTTTCGCTATGGTTTTGTCTTCCGTCCGTAAGCTCCCGGCACTTATCGGTAACGATAACGATAAATGCTAGCTCAAATGTCAAATTTGTCAAATAGCGGCTATCGGAATCGCTTTTAAAAGACAACGAAAACTCTCTATTCACTTGAATTCCGCCTTTCCCGAGGCTTTTTATACTGAGGCAATTCGCCACTTCTGAATAGGTACTACTAATTTGTTGAGGCTAGTCTCGACAATTGAATTAAGATCGATCTTTATCTTTAACGGCCGTCCCCTTTTATATTATTTTTATTCGCCAGCTTAAACTGACACTATGGGCGGTTGTGACAATCTGTAATTCAATTCTATTGGTCGACCATTCGACCTAGATTGGTTCTTGATGCTCGACCTAGATCCAAAAACTAATTTCATCATTTTTAGAGGATGATGCAACCTGTTCGAAATTTTTGTCATTTCTTTGTTTAAAACCGAATAATTATGTCGCAATTTCCTGGTTTATCGGGGTCAACAGATTTTGTATAAGAATGTCACATATAACTCAAAAAAAGACCGACACACGTGCGCCATTAATCACTGATTTAATTACTTTGGCCTCGCTTTTAATATTCTTATGGATTTGATTTACATGATGACTAAATAATGAGAAATTAAACGTTTTTAAGATACTTTAATTAATCTGGGTCAATTTTTATTGGTTTCATTTTCAATTTATTGATACTGATGTTAATTAATAGAGATTCAGTTTTTTTTTTTTTGGATTATTTGATTACATTTAATTTTTACAGTAAAGACATTGTAGATTACGGTCTATTTTCCTGGGTCATTTCTCGGGGCTTTCGCCCTATCCAAATTCCGGCCTTCTAGGCCCATTTTTTTCAATCGTGTCTTTTGACTTTTATGTATGGAATACGACAAATTCCACACAAATTAAAAACACGAAAAAAGTAAGGATACCAACATACCTACCCAAATCTTTGCATCGGCAGGAAAAGTGAGGATACACCTTACTAACCAACAAATCATCATCCAAAAGTTGGGGCACCTTACAAAGTAAGGAAACCTCACTCACAACCAATCACTAAAAACAAATCAGGGTACGTGGACTTGGCAAAATTCGCTAAAACCTAAGAGCCAAAAGTAGGGGCACCATCCTATTAACGGTCCAACAAATAAGTCAGGGCACCAGTGGCGTAACTAAGGGCACGCAGTTGCTGGGGGGCCCCGTGACTTAGGGGCCCCAGACCAGGCGACAAGAAAGTACTAAACTGGCGACAAGAATATTACTAAACTAAAAGAAAATACTTAAAACCTTTGAACCTCATAATACATAAAAACCATTGAAAAAGTATGTCTAACCAATGTAAGAGATCTCAGAGAGAAATGTTTAGACACATAGGCGCCGGAACCATGGGAGCAATGGGGCTTGAGCCCCCATAGTGATTTTGACATTGTATATAGTGGGTGTAGTGAGTAGGTACAAAAATATTGAGTTCCTAAACTATTTATTTTTATATCAAACTTGTGTGTTTTATGTTTTTATTGTTTTTGCTATAACCACTTTGACAAACAGTTTGACAGATACCTATTACCCAACATAACGGATCTCTTGAAGAAGCTGAGACGCTTTAGCTAGCGGCTTCCACCAGACCTAGACAACGACACCGAAAAAACCGCATTCAGCACAGAAAACGGACATTATAAGTTCTTGCGCATGCCCTTTGGTTTGAAGAATGCGCTGGCTACATTCCAAAGAGTTATGAATGATATTCTATATTCCAATATATTGAGCAACTTTAACACCAAAAGATGGAACATCCCATCAATAATAATTATTCATATTCACAAGGGAAAAAAGTATTAGATTTGAGAGCGAGATGTGGTCTGCCTCCCGTCGCGAAGCGGAGGGAGACAACAACAAGGTGGTTAAAAAGCACTGGGAATGCTGGAGGTGGAACAGGGGAAATCGTTATCTTTCGTTCTTTATTCAACCTTAGAGTTTTTCTAGACATTAGACATTTCATTCTATTGCATTAAAATTGGCCTGTTGTTGACTTGTCAAACCTGTATATAATTCATTTTTTTGCCATGCCATTAGCTTATTTATAAGTTTGTTTCGAGCCGTGTGAAGATAACGAAACCATTTTGTAGAGAAGAAAGAATCTTGAATCTTTTGTATGAACACTTTTTTCTAAAGTTAATAGATTTTGAAATATTCATTAAATAAGTTTAAATTGTTTTTACATTTTCCCTTATATCTCGGAAACGAATAAAAACTTGGCAACCCTATGTACTTACCTTCAATGGATACTAAAATCTGCCACTTTTATCTAATTTAACCTACTTCGTCCCTCTTACCGGTTCGAAGATAGCAATAGGGGTATCACTTTAAAACGGACACCCTGTATAAAGCAAAATTAGAAAGAAAAAAAATATACATAAAAGATGGGCCCCGGGAAAATCCTTGCGGGGGGCCCCGGATTTGAAGTTACGCCACGCACGGCAAATTTCACCAAACCTAAAAGTCAAGGCACGTGAACAAAAATCGAAAAGTGAGGGGACGCCGCCAAAAGTAAGGAGACGGCAAAACAAGTCGGGGCTCCACTGGCGTAGCCAGGATTTTATCTTGGGGGGGAGAGGCAAATTTGCAGGAAGTGTTTCTTACTGGCTCACCGCGAATTTTTGGGTGCCAGGCCCTTTTTTTGGGTCTTTTTACGGTATTTTTCTGACTGTATATTTAGAATTATTTATAAAATTTAGAAGTCTTGAGTTTGAAATCAGATTCCCTTTGGGAGCGTAGATTCGAATCCTACCGTCTGCGCACCCTTTTTTTCTCATTAGAGTACCTATATGAGACTCAAACTCTAAAATTGTCTCAAAACCAGTATCTAATAGAGGATACAAAATACACAAAAGTTTACTTTTTTACAGGCGAAAACAAATACATTTGCAGTAAATGCGACGCCTCCTACGAGTCTCCCAATCCTCTGAAATTGCACATGACCCTCAAGTGCGGAAAGTTCGACATTTCCGCACTGTGGCAACGTTTGGCTTGGCTGATGGAAGGCGCGCCAGCTTCGGACGATAATTTCGAGTTCAAACTCAACCTGGTCGAACACCAAGTTTACAAACACGATACGAACGTCTTGGATTTGAGTTACAAAAAGCACGAATCGGGAGCGACTATTGGAATTGAGCGGAATAATTCGGCTTTTAAACCTTTCAAGTAAGGAATTTTTGATTCATTAATGAGTCACTTATAACAGAGTAGTAACAATGATGTATCAAAGCATAAAATATATTTTTGAATTTCTAGAAGAGAAGAAATGGAAATAAATGGTAACAGCCCTCATCACCTGAACACCCAACCTTTACCTCAACATCTAACATCTATTCCGATTCTATGGCCAGCAGCTGACGTTTTACAACTTCATAAAGGCTTCATGCACGGTCGCACCAAAAATGCTCAAAATGATGCTCAAATTGAAAGTTTGGTAAGTCAATTATTCTTCCAAATAAACACTTACTCTATAATGTCCATTTTGTATAGGTAAGCAGTTTGGGTAAAGCAAGACAAGGGCACATTTGTCTCTACTGTGGCAAATGCTATTCAAGGAAATACGGTTTGAAAATCCATATAAGAACACACACCGGTTATAAGCCTTTAAAATGTAAATTTTGCGAACGTCCCTTTGGCGATCCAAGTAATTTGAACAAACATGTTAGGCTTCACGCTCAAGGAAACACGCCTTACAAGTAAGAATTCCTTTATAATTAACTATTATGCAAATTGTTTTCAACTTAACTTTTTCTAGATGTGAAATTTGTGGTAAGATCCTGGTGCGAAGGCGCGACTTGGAGAGGCACTTAAAATCCAGACATTTGGCCGACATTCATCCAGGACAAAATATTTTGGAAGAAAGTCCTGTTAATAATAACGAGAGTTCGAATTCTGCCACTGAAAGTTCTGAAATTACACAAACGCAAATTGATGAATCGAGTAATTCAGAAGTAAACATTATTATAATCGCAGCAGAATCTGATAATGATAGTTCTAAAATTTGTTGATGGTTATTGATTTGTAAATATTGTTATTTATTTTTGTAGTAATGTTAATAGTAATAAAGCTAGGAAAATATTCTATTACACATATTTATTCAATTATAAACAAATCTGAGGCACCAGTCATTTTTTATGCTTAAACATTAACAAGTCTTTAATATAAATTAACAACAAGTGTGCACATATACAGAGTGTGGTACAAATTCGTGAGTAAGCATGGAGATACAGGGTGAATAATAGTAGAAAACAAAAATTTGCTTACATTTTCAAAAAAAGGTTACATTTTCAATTCACCCAAAGAAACAGTTTAAGAATTTTTGATTAAATGACAATGTTCAACTCCGAGGCTCAATTGCTCAGAAAGTATTTGAGCAATTGAAATTGATTTAGCATGGATTTATAGAGAATTTAAGGCTCTTTCTAATGATGTATAATTTATTTTAATTTGCTCAAAATTTACCAAAGATATGAGCAATTGTTCATGTTAGGATTTTAAAAATTTTCCAGTGCCAAAAATAGGATTTTCTTTTTATTTTTGTGTCTTCTTAAAATGGCCATTTGTAGCTTTTATCAAGTTCTAAATGGCCTGTAATTTACAATATTTCCAGATTTCTAGTTTATGAGCAAATTGAGTTTGAAGTTTTTGATAAAACTTGGACTAAAAGTCAACTTTGAGGCTAAATTGCTCAAAAACTATAGGAGCTATCCAGCTCAATTTTGCACAGATTTATAGAGAATTTAAGGCTCTTTCAAATGGTGTATAATTTATTTTAATTTGCTCAAAATTTACCAGAGCTATGGGTAATTGTTCATGACCATGTTAGGATTTTGAAAATTTTCCAGTGCCAAAAATAGGATTTTCTTTTTATTTTTGTGTCTTCTTAAAATGGCCATCTGGTATTGATATTAGGGTTGTTTTCCACTAATTATTACCCGCTCTATCGATTCATAAAGTCAAAATTGAGCAAAACTAAAAAATAAAAAAATTGAATTTTTCATAAGGGTATCCCCTTGAATTCTGATTTCAAAATGTTCAAACCTCAATTGTTCGATAACCGTTGAGCAAATTGCATTAAAATTTCCAGAATTTGTAGCTTTTATCAAGTTCTAAATGGCCTGTAATTTACAATATTTCCAGATTTCTAGTTTATGAGCAAATTGAGTTTGAAGTTTTTGATAAAACTTGGACTAAAAGTCAACTTTGAGGCTAAATTGCTCAAAAACTATAGGAGCTATCCAGCTCAATTTTGCACAGATTTATAGAGAATTTAAGGCTCTTTCTAATGGTGTATAATTTATTTTAATTTGCTCAAAAGTTACCAGAGCTATAGGTAATTGTTCATGACCATGTTAGGATTTTGAAAATTTTCCAGTGCCAAAAATAGGATTTTCTTTTTATTTTTGTGTCTTCTTAAAATGGCCATTTGGTATTGATATCAGGGTTGTTTTCCACTAATTATTACCCGCTCTATCGATTCATAAAGTCAAAATTGAACAAAACTAAAAAATAAAAAAATTGAATTTTTCATAAGGGTATCCCTTTGAATTCTGATTTCAAAATATTCAAACCTCAATTGCTCGATAACCGTTGAGCAAATTGCATTAAAATTTCCAGAATTTGTAGCTTTTATCAAGTTCTAAATGGCCTGTAATTTACAATATTTCCAGATTTCTAGTTTATGAGCAAATTGAGTTTGAAGTTTTTGACAAAACTTGGACTAAAAGTCAACTTTGAGGCTAAATTGCTCAAAAACTATAGGAGCTATCCAGCTCAATTTTGTACAGATTTATAGAGAATTTAAGGCTCTTTCTAATGGTGTATAATTTAATTTAATTTGCTCAAAATTTACCAGAGCTATGGGTAATTGTTCATGACCATGTTAGGATTTTGAAAATTTTCCATTCCCAAAAATAGGATTTTCTTTTTATTTTTGTGTCTTCTTAAAATGGCCATCTGGTATTGATATTAGGGTTGTTTTCCACTAATTATTACCCGCTCTATCGATTCATAAAGTCAAAATTGAGCAAAACTAAAAAATAAAAAAATTGAATTTTTCATAAGGGTATCCCCTTGAATTCTGATTTCAAAATGTTCAAACCTCAATTGTTCGATAACCGTTGAGCAAATTGCATTAAAATTTCCAGAATTTGTAGCTTTTATCAAGTTCTAAATGGCCTGTAATTTACAATATTTCCAGATTTCTAGTTTATGAGCAAATTGAGTTTGAAGTTTTTGATAAAACTTGGACTAAAAGTCAACTTTGAGGCTAAATTGCTCAAAAACTATAGGAGCTATCCAGCTCAATTTTGCACAGATTTATAGAGAATTTAAGGCTCTTTCAAATGGTGTATAATTTATTTTAATTTGCTCAAAATTTACCAGAGCTATGGGTAATTGTTCATGACCATGTTAGGATTTTGAAAATTTTCCAGTGCCAAAAATAGGATTTTCTTTTTATTTTTGTGTCTTCTTAAAATGGCCATCTGGTATTGATATTAGGGTTGTTTTCCACTAATTATTACCCGCTCTATCGATTCATAAAGTCAAAATTGAGCAAAACTAAAAAATAAAAAAATTGAATTTTTCATAAGGGTATCCCCTTGAATTCTGATTTCAAAATGTTCAAACCTCAATTGTTCGATAACCGTTGAGCAAATTGCATTAAAATTTCCAGAATTTGTAGCTTTTATCAAGTTCTAAATGGCCTGTAATTTACAATATTTCCAGATTTCTAGTTTATGAGCAAATTGAGTTTGAAGTTTTTGATAAAACTTGGACTAAAAGTCAACTTTGAGGCTAAATTGCTCAAAAACTATAGGAGCTATCCAGCTCAATTTTGCACAGATTTATAGAGAATTTAAGGCTCTTTCTAATGGTGTATAATTTATTTTAATTTGCTCAAAAGTTACCAGAGCTATGGGTAATTGTTCATGACCATGTTAGGATTTTGAAAATTTTCCAGTGCCAAAAATAGGATTTTCTTTTTATTTTTGTGTCTTCTTAAAATGGCCATTTGGTATTGATATCAGGGTTGTTTTCCACTAATTATTACCCGCTCTATCGATTCATAAAGTCAAAATTGAACAAAACTAAAAAATAAAAAAATTGAATTTTTCATAAGGGTATCCCTTTGAATTCTGATTTCAAAATATTCAAACCTCAATTGCTCGATAACCGTTGAGCAAATTGCATTAAAATTTCCAGAATTTGTAGCTTTTATCAAGTTCTAAATGGCCTGTAATTTACAATATTTCCAGATTTCTAGTTTATGAGCAAATTGAGTTTGAAGTTTTTGATAAAACTTGGACTAAAAGTCAACTTTGAGGCTAAATTGCTCAAAAACTATAGGAGCTATCCAGCTCAATTTTGCACAGATTTATAGAGAATTTAAGGCTCTTTCTAATGGTGTATAATTTATTTGAATTTGCTCAAAATTTACCAGAGCTATGGGTAATTGTTCATGACCATGTTAGGATTTTGAAAATTTTCCATTCCCAAAAATAGGATTTTCTTTTTATTTTTGTGTCTTCTTAAAATGGCCATCTGGTATTGATATTAGGGTTGTTTTCCACTAATTATTACCCGCTCTATCGATTCATAAAGTCAAAATTGAGCAAAACTAAAAAATAAAAAAATTGAATTTTTCATAAGGGTATCCCCTTGAATTCTGATTTCAAAATGTTCAAACCTCAATTGTTCGGTAACCGTTGAGCAAATTGCATTAAAATTTCCAGAATTTGTAGCTTTTATCAAGTTCTAAATGGCCTGTAATTTACAATATTTCCAGATTTCTAGTTTATGAGCAAATTGAGTTTGAAGTTTTTGATAAAACTTGGACTAAAAGTCAACTTTGAGGCTAAATTGCTCAAAAACTATAGGAGCTATCCAGCTCAATTTTGCACAGATTTATAGAGAATTTAAGGCTCTTTCAAATGGTGTATAATTTATTTTAATTTGCTCAAAATTTACCAGAGCTATGGGTAATTGTTCATGACCATGTTAGGATTTTGAAAATTTTCCAGTGCCAAAAATAGGATTTTCTTTTTATTTTTGTGTCTTCTTAAAATGGCCATCTGGTATTGATATTAGGGTTGTTTTCCACTAATTATTACCCGCTCTATCGATTCATAAAGTCAAAATTGAGCAAAACTAAAAAAATAAAAAAATTGAATTTTTCATAAGGGTATGATTCTGATTTCAAAATGTTCAAACCTCAATTGTTCGGTAACCGTTAAGCAAATTGCATTAAAATTTCCAGAATTTGTAGCTTTTATCAACTTCTAAATGGCCTGTAATTTACAATATTTCCAGATTTCTAGTTTATGAGCAAATTGAGTTTGAAGTTTTTGACAAAACTTGGACTAAAAGTCAACTTTGAGGCTAAATTGCTCAAAAACTATAGGAGCTATCCAGCTCAATTTTGTACAGATTTATAGAGAATTTAAGGCTCTTTCTAATGGTGTATAATTTAATTTAATTTGCTCAAAATTTACCAGAGCTATGGGTAATTGTTCATGACCATGTTAGGATTTTGAAAATTTTCCATTCCCAAAAATAGGATTTTCTTTTTATTTTTGTGTCTTCTTAAAATGGCCATCTGGTATTGATATTAGGGTTGTTTTCCACTAATTATTACCCGCTCTATCGATTCATAAAGTCAAAATTGAGCAAAACTAAAAAATAAAAAAATTGAATTTTTCATAAGGGTATCCCCTTGAATTCTGATTTCAAAATGTTCAAACCTCAATTGTTCGATAACCGTTGAGCAAATTGCATTAAAATTTCCAGAATTTGTAGCTTTTATCAAGTTCTAAATGGCCTGTAATTTACAATATTTCCAGATTTCTAGTTTATGAGCAAATTGAGTTTGAAGTTTTTGATAAAACTTGGACTAAAAGTCAACTTTGAGGCTAAATTGCTCAAAAACTATAGGAGCTATCCAGCTCAATTTTGCACAGATTTATAGAGAATTTAAGGCTCTTTCTAATGGTGTATAATTTATTTT